TAAGGTGCCGGCAATGCAAAATTTGAGCACTTTTTATTTTTAGCTTAAACATACATCATTAGATTCAGTTTTTCCTGCTGATTACGAATATGACCTTATTTTCTTGATTTGACAAAATTTTTATAGGAAAAAATACAAAATACTGAGAGGGTGTCAAAATTTGCAGAAAAAGCCTTTTTCTAGAAAAATAAGGCTTAGTTCATTACCATTTCACTTCTTGTCTTTTTCAATCTGATTTTCAGATTCCTCATATAAAATTGATACTAGAAATGTTGTCTAGAGCTTTATCACATATTATATGTCCATTCTGAAAATTTATACTGCAGGGGCCCTCGCTGATGAGAGTACCCAATTTTGCAAACCTATCTAGTTTTTTCTGGTAAGTCCTAGAACCTTCATTCTTGTGGCATTCGAACCGCCATTTGACGACCAACAAAAATATGGATCGAGTTTTTTCATTCTCCTTTCCTATATTGAGAAAATGCACCAACAATAGCCTAGAATGGCATTATTTGAAAATTGGGCTCGTCATTTTCCAAAAAAAACTTTATTTTTCATCCAAAACTTTTAGAAACATGCTATAATAGATTAAAAACGATGGAGATTTTAATGGAGATGGTTGCGCGGTGAACAGAACATCTCGAGGGGGGGGCAGTGGTAGGTACCTTGGAAATCGAGGTCCAATAACCCATAGAAAGTGCATTTTTCACTACGAAAGTGGAATGAAGTATAGCGCCATCATTCGTCGATGTCTAAATGGATGTTTTGAGCACCAACGAACATGAATTTTCAAATATATGATTCAAACAAACAAAACTATTTGTTTATTTAATCCTCAAAACTAATAATATATATTCCACTTTTAATCTGCAATTTTTAAGGTATTTTCAATGCCAAAAGTTAAAAAGCAACGAAGTCATAATCGTGATTTAAACACAAGACGATGGTCGAAGGACAGCATTTCTCAAGAATCAGTGAACTCGTCAAGTGAAGACGAAACATTTGTTATTTTATCTGATGATGATGCTGATTTTATTAATTTTTCAAATAAATCTATTTTAAATGATATTGCTGATCTTTTCTCATTTTGTAAAGAAACAATTAACACTCGTTTTATTAGTGTTCTCATGTATATGGGTTTACGCCATTTTGGCCATTCTTGGCGAGATGTTGATGCATTTTTAAGAACAATTGGTGGTATGACAGCAACATCAGCTCATAAATGGTCAACTATTTTATTAAATAAAGATTTTGATGAATTTACAGCTGAAGGAAGAGGTGGGAAAAGAGTTGATGCATTCTGGGATTGTTATCCTGATTTAGAATTGGAAGCAAAGCAGTTTGTAATGAAAGAATGTTCAAAGACGGAAGCTTCATTTACAGCTGAAAGTTTAGCAAGATTCATTGATACTCGCTTTTATGAATTAAACAATATAAAGAAGGTTGATTTGGAGTTAGTTAGATCAATTAGAAGTTGTAGATTGGATTTGCGTCATTTTGGAGCAAAATATACAACAAATGTTGGAAGACCTTATTATTTAGGACATGAAAGACCAGATGTAATACAGCATCGAGAACAATTTGTTAAGTATTTTCTACAAAATGAAGATAAATTTTATACAATCACAGATGATCTTTCACCACAGTGGAAGTTTCCAAAAGATTATGCAACAGTTTTACTCTGTATGTGTTTGTTTTCTTCTGTACTTAGACTCCCTAGCTCTATAGTTTTCTTTTGTCTGTTTCTCCTGCAGGTCATGATGAAAGTACTTATAAAGCTGGTGAAGTCTCAGCCAAAAGATGGATAATGTCTGACAAAGCAGCTTTTTATAACAAAGGCAAAGGACGTAGTATTATGTGCTCTGATTTTTTAATTATGCATTCTAGCGGTCCGTTTTTCTCATTGACAGACTTGGAATATGCAGAAGCACTGAAGAAATATCCACATTTGAATGATGATTATGATATATTATATGAGAAAAATAGTGCTTCAGGAAGCATCATTGTTGGTGGGGACAGCTATTTTGATAATCAAACTGTACTCACCCAATTTGAACGTCTTTTTCAATTGTTGCCTTTCAAAACAGAATACAAGAATCATAATTTTGTTTGCTTGGTTGATAATGCCAGAACACATACAGCAGCTGAATTGAGTGTTAATGATTTCGGAATGAAACCTGGTACTAAATGTCCTGTGCATCAAATTGAGTTTATTGATGAACAAAATATGAAACAGATAGTTAATTGTTATGATGCTAATGGAAAAAGCAAAGGTTTACTCGCTTTAGCAAATGAACTGAATGTCGTTGTTCCAAATAAATACACCCTTCAACAATTGAGATCTTTATTGGCTGAGCATGTAGCTTTCAAAAAGGTGAATAGAGCTTTCGTTTTTATCATTCACTGCAAAAAATCGCTGACACATCTTTATCTCATTTTCCATTTATAGATTAGCAAACTTGAGAAACTAGCTGCTCAATATAATGTGAAAATCGTTTTTACCCCCAAATTTCATTGTGAGACAAACCCCATAGAAGGGTATTGGTGTCATTCCAAGCAG